AGCCCTTGCCCGTCGAGCCACGACGCCTTGAAGTGGAAGAAATCCTGGTCGGTGTCCATCCACGTCGGCACATCTCCCAAAACACTCCACTCCTCTGCAACGGCGTCGTATCGATGAAGCAGTCGACTCATGCCTTTTTCCTTTGTTTCTTGCACCACAAGGAACCTCTCGTTATACGTCACGATTGTCCAGAACAGCCACTTTCCCGTCTCTATAGCATCGTTGTTTATCTGTTTTCGGAGAACCCAGGTAGGAATCGGGTCGTCTCGTAGGATGAAGACCGAGATTAGGGTCTCGGTAGCTGAGATTAGGGTTAGGGTTTTGTTCCCTTCAACTGCTCCGAGCCAGAGATGGGTACTTTCCAGAGATGGGAATGTGGTCGGAATGATCCGGGCTTCGTCTTTTTCGGGGTTGAAAGCGACGATGCTACCGTCTCTTCTCAGCCAGTGAAGAGCTCGGTTAAAGTAAACCGGTTTCACACGTTCAACGAGATTGCTTGCGGGACAAGCAATAGTCGTTTCCGACACTCTCCACGAATCATTATCCCCATCATAGATCTCGAACCGGTAAATCGACACGTCGGGATGTAACATGAACTCCTCCTCGTTGATACTCACGACTCCGAATCTCTGACTGGTTTGATCGATATTATCGACCGAGAAACCGATCTTCATCTGTCTCTTCCCACGAATACTGAGTATATTTTGCGTAAATCGTGAAGATTCTTCTCCAAGAAGCCGAAACTTACGGGTGATTGGATTGAGGACACAGAGTTGATGGAGGAAGAGAAGAACAAGACCTGAACCTGAGCCGAGAATCTGACAGCGCATCGGCAGACCAGAGGCTTCGGGTTCAGTTTTGGTATTGTCGGAGACGTACCGGACGTAGTTGGAGCCGAAGCCGGAGGAGTGGATCAAACAGGCGGGCGCTGACCGACAGAAGTATTCGATGCAGAATTCCGGTTCGGAAATTTTCGATCTGAGCTCTCTGTTGACGCATTTGGACCGAGCAAGAGACTTGCGATCCAACCGGAAGAGGATTTCTTCTGCGAGATGCAAGGGGAGATTCTCCATTGATGCGAAAATCGTCAAGGGCTCAGGCGAAATTAGGGTTTCTCTCTCTCTCTCTCTTCTGCTTCCTGTGTGTCTCTCGTTTTTTGATATTGTGGAGTTGTTCTAATGAGGCGAGGGCGTATTTATAGAGACGGTTAGTGCATAATCCTGTAGAGATTAGCAGAATCTTGTCCCACGAATAAAAAGGAAAGCAGTGCGATTAAGGTTTAAGTCGGAGTTAGAAAAAGGGAAATTGAAATTATTACCTTTTTTCGCACAATTGATTTATGAATTATGTCGGTCAATAATAATAATAATATTATAATAATAATCTTTTTTCACAAAGATAAGGAAAACAATGAATTGGAGTTAGAAAAAGGAAATTTGAAATTATTACCTTTTTTTACAAAATTTATTGTTATTATTATTATTATTATTATCAAATTATCAGTATTATTATTATTTTAATTTTAATACGGACAGTGATAGATTCTTTTACAAAACCACTCAACAGCTCATGAACTAAACATAGGAGTAATCTGATAAATTCAATCCAAATCTGATTAAGAAATTTTGAAACATGTAGAAAACACCACATACACAGGTGATATATAAAACTTTTGGAGAAATAATTTCTCAAATGAGTAATACGTACACGGAATTATATACAAATTACACACAATCATAAATAGGAAATAATGTGAGATACAGCAAATCAATTTGGGAAGATTTTCCTAGATACTTGGTAACTACTAACATGCCCGTAAGATCGGTGTCGGTAGAAAGGTCGATCTTGGATCGAAGAAGTTCGAAATGTCCGCGAGGAATGGGCTTCGTGAGAGTGTCGACTAACTGATTGAGAGACGTGACATATGATACACGAAGCTTTCGAGTTTAGACAAAGCCCCGAATGTAGTGATAGTCAATGACAATGTGCTTCATGCTGGACGGCCACAAGATAAGCATGACTCCGACATTGTCACAATATATTATATATGTATCGGGGCAATGGATATACCAAATTCCGGGAGCAAAGAGACAAGTCATTGTACCTCGGAAGCAGTGGAAGAGACGGATTTGTACTCAGCCTCGGTGGAAAATTTTGCGGCGAAGTGTTGCTTTTTAGATGACCATGGGATAGGGTTGCGGCCTAAGTAGACAATGTGCATCGGAAAAATCATGAAGTGACATCGGAGATGATTGGGAGAGAAATATGCCAATATTCCGATGTTGGGCGATGCATGCATTGAGACAATTTATTGACATAAAAAACAATGTCTAGACGAGTGAATATAAGATATTGGAGGCTATCTAGGACTTATTGAAACTCACCAGATCATCTAGCGGTGTGCCCGAATGAATGTAAGAGTCGTCGTCGAAGGAAGGGGTGTGGGAATCGGTTTAGTCGCAAACATAGCATGGTGCGAAAGGATGTCAAAGATGTATCGTCTTTGGGAGAGAAAAATTCCTGCGTTTGTCCGAGTAACTTCTACACCAAGGAAGTAACAGAGAGAGCCGATGTCGTTAATGGAAAAACGGCGAGCCAAAATATCAATGAAATCTTGAACGTTCTTCGTATTGTTGTGGGTGATAATGATGTTGTCCACATAAACAAGGACGTAATTGATTATTCCGTTGCGGTTGAGGATGAATAATCGACGTTCGGCAAAGTGAGTTGATAAAGCCGGAAGTGAAGAGAAACCAACAAAGCACACTATACCATGCACGAGGAGCTTGTTTCAATCCATAGAGCATTTTGTGAAGCTTGCACACAAATATAGGTCGGTCCGGATCAATGAAATCGGGCGGTTGAGAGAGATAAACGTCTAACTTCAAAAATTCTTTGGAGAAAGGCATTGTTGACGTCAAGTTGGTGAAGTGTCATCCTCGCGATACCACAACGCTTAGGACCACTCTAATCATTGCATGTTTGATGTCCGGACTAAAGGTGTGAAGTCAATATCCAGACGTTGGTAGAATTCTTTGGCTACAAGACGTGATTTGGCTACAAGGCATACTAGGGTTGTGGGGTTATAATAATGCAATACACCAAATCAATTTAGGAAGTTTTCCCTAGATACATGGTAACTACTAACATGATAAACGTGATCGATAAGTTACAATATATCATCTGGATCATAAAGTTAGAAACTGATACTCAAGAATAAATAAGAAAATCAATCTCTCCTTTATTAGAAACCCAAAATAATATCAAAACGTTTGTCTCCAAAACGTCAAACAAACCCTAAAATTCCTAATTAATCCAAAATTATGTGGTTATAATAAAAAATCTGGATCGACTAAACCTGAACCGGTCCGACTTAAATTTGACCCGGTACGATTTACATTTCTTAAAAAAAATCATCAAAAATGGAAATGTCCGATTTAGATCTAAATTTGTCCCAGTTAAAATTCCGAAGCAAACTCAGTGAAAACTGGTTTGGTCCGAATTTGACTTGCATAGACACATCCAAAGTTGTGCATACCTGAATTTCTCTAGAATCATGCGTAGCGACGCCATTGTTGTAACCCTTTTTTTTTGTTAAACGTAAAACTTATATATATGAACATTTCTTACAATATGGATGAACCCTTATTTCATCCCAGATATATAGTGAAGACAGCAAAATAGTGATGTCAAAGGAGGCAGCTCGGACCAGGCCGTGACGAGCTAGCTCGTTCACAGTCCACCTCGTTAAGCCCGTTTATATACGGGCCACGAAATTCCTGGCTCGACCCAAGTCGCTCTAACTTGGGAGCTGGTTCGCGAACCGAATAAATATAAAAATAAAAACAAAAATATTAAATATAATTTTAAAAAATATTTAAATAATAATTTAAAAATAATTATTAATATATTTAAGGTAAGAAAAAATATTTAAAATTGATAAATCTTTTTAACAATTATTAAAAAACTATAAAAAAATAAAATAATTTTTTTCCTGGCTCGCGAGCCAGTTCGTGAGTTTGCCGAGCTGGTTCGGATAAACTCGACTCGTGACGAGCTGGTTCGTTCGGCTCGTTTTGTATTCAGACTCAAATTTTTATAGCCCAACTCGGGACTATATGGGCTGGCTCCCGAGCCACCTCGCGAGTCAAACTCATTTTGACATCCTTACAGCAAAATAAGAGCAAAAGTCAACAATCCGAGGATAAAAACCAAATAAATTTGTATACCATGATCTTGCCCCAAGTTTAAATCTAAGCGTGGGGAAGGGTATTTATCCGCATTATATAGTTTTAGACCAAAAGCTTGGTAGTACGGTGACAATATCCACAAACTCTGCTTCTCCTCCGGGAAAACATGGGCACAAATCAGAAACTGCAATCCAGAAGCTGAATGTCACAGCTTTGGTTCGCCTTCCTTCTTTGGCAGTGTATGCACCAGAAGCTACCGACGAGGGATTGCATTAGCATGCGGGGCGTGACGACCAACACTCTATGCCCTCTGCAATCTGGAAGAGGAAAACCCATCCCCACCTATATTTTGCCTGCCACCACATCGCAGAAATCTGACAACATTATGCCAGAAAGTGCTGGAATGATCCCCCAAATGTTTTGTTCGTCTGCCCAGCTTGGACTCAAATGCCAACCCATGACAGAAGCAGGAGCCGTCGACCCATCATTGTGAAACTTATGGCCCAACTGGAAGCTTACTAGATATGGCGCGAAAGGAATAGCAGGATTTTCGAGAACAAATCCAACCCATCTGATCTGATTCGACGGAAACTTGGCCGCGCTATGCGGAACGTCCTCTTCTCCTCGAAAGAGCATCGACCGGCAGATTTAGAACACATGTATTACTCAACACAATAGACACTACAAGGTTGTAAGAGATTAATCCACTTGCGACTTTTGTTTTGAGTCTTTGGACTGGTTGTGAAGCAAGCACTCATTTTTGGAATCTTTATTACAATTTCAAACTACACAAAATCCGACAAATACTTTTTCTTTATCCAACTTATTTTCCACGATATAACCGAACCTACAGACAAAACAGATAACCCAACGCTCAATAAACAGACCCAGAAACAAATCAGTGTCAGACAACAAATTGGTTTTAACTTAAATAATGATTGCTCGATCTATTGAAAAACATAGATGATTTTGTAATGATAAATGGATAATACAGCGAAAACTAATATTATATAACTAATTTAGATAGTAAAAAACTAGATTGGTCCTGAACGGGTGTCGATCATTTCCATGAATAAGCCAAGGCTAAGCAATTTCTTCTCATAGATACGCTCCTCGATACCACGCTCCTTAATATTGGCCATCGACGGAAAAGACTCGAGCCCTTTCACGTCGAACCACGATGGCTGAAAGTCGAAAAAAACGCTGTGGTAGTCCATACACTTGGAAGCAGTTCCGAGAAACCTCCACTCGTTTGCTCCGACGTCGTACACAAGAAGCTGATCTCTGTTGGTTCTGTAATTCTTTTCTTTCATCACAAGTAACCTCCCGTTATACGTCGCGATTTCCCACAGCACCCACCTTTCCCTCTCTATAGTGTTGATCTGTTTGTCGAGGACCCACTCGGAAATCGGGCCATCTCTTAGGATGTAGACCGAAACTACCCTCTCACTGTTCTCGCCATCTGACATTCTGATTAGGGTTAGGTTTCCATCAACCAGCCCGAACCATGTCCTGCAACAATTTCCCAGGGATTGGATTGTGGTCGGAACGATACGGGTTTCGTCTGTTTCGGGGTTGAAAGTAACGATCTTCCCGTCAGATCTCAGCCAATGAAAAACCCGGTTAAAGTAAACCGGTTTCACGCACGTCAGGAGCTCTCTTCTGGGACAAGAAACCATTGTTTCCGTCACTCTCCACGAATGGTCATCGCTGTCGTAGATCTCGAACCGGTAATACGAATTTCCGCGACGTTGCCTGCGCAGAACCTCAGTGATACACACGATTCCGAATCTCTGAGTGGTTTGATCGATTTTCTCGACCGAGAAACCGATCGACATCAATTCCAACTCGCACATCAGGTATATATTTTTCATAAATTCTTTGGATTCTTTCCCAACAAACCGAAGCTTTTTGGTGATTGGATTGAGGACGCAGAGTTCACCGAGGAAGAGGAGAACAAGACCTGAATCTGATCCGAGAACGCCACAGTCATGCAGCAGACGAGTAGATTCGGCTTGGGTTTTGGTCTGGTCGGAGACGAAGGGGACGTACCGGAGTGTCTTGGAGCAGAGGATGGAGGATTGGATGAAACCGGGGGTTAACCGGGAAAAGTATTCGATGCCGAATTCTGGGTTGGATATTTGCGATCGGAATGATCTGTTCACGCATTTGAACCGAGCAAGAGACTTACGATCCAATCGGAGGGCGTATTTATAGAGACGGTTAGTGCATAATCCTGTAGAGATTAGCAGAATCTTGTCCCACGAATAAAAAGGAAAGCAGTGCGATTAAGGTTTAAGTCGGAGTTAGAAAAAGGGAAATTGAAATTATTACCTTTTTTCGCACAATTGATTTATGAATTATGTCGGTCAATAATAATAATAATATTATAATAATAATCTTTTTTCACAAAGATAAGGAAAACAATGAATTGGAGTTAGAAAAAGGAAATTTGAAATTATTACCTTTTTTTACAAAATTTATTGTTATTATTATTATTATTATTATCAAATTATCAGTATTATTATTATTTTAATTTTAATACGGACAGTGATAGATTCTTTTACAAAACCACTCAACAGCTCATGAACTAAACATAGGAGTAATCTGATAAATTCAATCCAAATCTGATTAAGAAATTTTGAAACATGTAGAAAACACCACATACACAGAGTCTACGGCTGAATTAGGGTTTTTCTCTCTTCTTGTAATTTGATGTCGGGGTTGGTTTATGAGGTTTGGGCGTATTTATAGAGATGTTTTTATGCATAAATTGATAAATGGAAACTAGGAGAAACTTGTCCCACTGAAAAAAGGAAAGCAATGCGATAAATGTTTAATTGCGATTTAGAAAAAGGAAAATTGAAATTATTACGTTTTTTTTCTCTAAACAATTGATTTGTGAATTATGTCGGTCATGGCATTGATATGGTTTAAATTTAGAATAATTAATACCAACAACAACATTTGTTAATTTATCAAATCGTCCGATTATTCCGCATAGAAATAATTCGTTATTATAAAAAAAAAATCCTTCCATTAAAATTCAATCAAAAGAGGTATGTTTGTATTGATCTGATAATTACGTGTCAAATCAAAATCTTTATAGCCTAAATAAAACATTCAACTTACAATTAACAGGTTTACTTTGTTAACATCCCATTATATTTTCCTATATTGAAGTGTCCTTGGTAAAGATTGCTGTATTATTATGATATTAGTATTACAATGCATGATATTAGATATTTAATTTATTTCTTTCGACTCTCATTTTTCATGTATAAGTACGTTGTTTTGGGTTACTGAATAATATAACATTCATTTAAGCAAAATCTTAACAGAGATTGATTTATTTTCTAGTTTTTTTTTTCTCTTCATAAATGATGATAATTGGTAACGGGAATGACAGTGAAAACGATGCTGATATACCGAATCCACTAGTAATATCGTTTTGAATGTTTGTTATTAAGAATATTATCAAGAATGAGAGAGTAATATTAGTATAATTTTTTTATTCTCTCCAATAATCCCTCATGTTTCAAATGATTCTTCGTCAAAGTCGCCAATCATTTTGTTGCAAGAAATTAATTGTTGTCACCAAAGCGTTTTCGCATAGTTAACTTCCAATTTCGGATAGATCAAAGTTGTTCATAAGATTTCTTTTCTGCACCGCGATTATTGTTCTTATGTTATAATCGAACGATTTTTTTCTTTGTTATTATTGCCATCGTTCGTTTGAGTTTTTCTAGTTATATATCTTCCGTTGACACAATTTTGCATGGTGTTGTGGTTCGAGTGACAAAAATCGTCTCGGTAAGTTGGACGTTGTGCTATCTCCGCGCTTCAACTTGAGAGCGGTATTAGGAGATTTGGAATATATTACCATTGTCGACTGAAACCTAGCAGTGGTATGAGCATTGGCGGATTCAAGAAAGATTATTTACGGGGACATTTCCTTTTTTCCACTAAAAATAAAAGGAAACATGAGTGGGGGCAATAAAAAATCTTTATGGGGACATTCTTCTTTTTTTCACCAAAATTTTGTAAAAAATATGATTAGATTAAAATTTCATAGGGGCATATGATCCCACTCAACTATGAACGGGTCCGCACCTGGGTATGAGCGTCGAGAGATGTCGGGACTGACTAGTGGAATATTGCAGATGACCCAACTGCGGTATGCAGTTGACCAACTGCGATATGCAGATTTTTGGTAGCCTCGTTGGTCGCTATAGGGGCCTGCGACAAAATATTAGGACATCGACATGGTTGGCTCGATCCAGGCAATGGCAAAAAAATACGATGTGATAGGAAGATGAGGGTTCATCACCAATTTGACAGGAGATTTGGTTGTCAAAATGTTAGGGTTTTGTTTGGGAGAAATTGATGAAAGAGAGTAATCGGGGGCAAAGGGAATAGAGCTTGGTGTCGATGGCTGGATAGGGAGGGGATTATGGTTCGGTGGAGGTGGTGTATCATCGACGGAGCCTGGGTTCACAAGTACGACCATGGAAGGGTGAGAGGATCCGATGGGGATCGTCGAGGATTTTGGGGGAGAAGACGACTCTTTTTCTTTTTTTCTTTTTTTATTTATCATCATTGAAATTAACATTTTATTGAAATGAAGATTTATGATTTGGAAAGTAGTTCGAATAATTTTGTTAAGAAATTGGATGTGGTGGAAGATGGGGAACAAGGGCAGTTGGATGTGGCAGAAAATCCTGAAACTCCGTGACGTAGCCGGACCTTCCCTCAGATGTCGGGTGGGGAATGGTGCATCATGTAGTTTCCGGTTCGACTTTTGGCTTTCTGATCAGGGACCCCTGATACTCTTCTTGGGTGAGGCCGGCCTAGGCAACTAGGAATTCCTCGCTATGGTATGGTGAGGGAAGCTTGGAACGGCCGTGGTTGGCTCATTCCTCCTGCCAGAAGTCCGACCATCGAAACTGCCCACATAAACATTCCATCACTCAGTCCACCAACTCCTTCGGCACCGAGTGATAGGTACTACTGGTCACCAGACCCGTTGGATGCTAGATTGAGTCGTTCTCAACACCTTAGGCCTAGAAGTTATTCTACTCTCCACTCACTTGTGTTCCCTGGTCTACCACTGTGTGGTTTACGCATTCCATTCAGAAGCACGCTTTCACTTGCTGGTTGGCAGTTCGGAACAGGCTCTCCACTCGTAATTGCTTATCTGCTTGGCTTCCGAATCGCCACTCACTTGTTTGCTTTGTGACGCAGTCAATCAATCTCCCGACCACCTCTTCTTTAACTATGATTTCAGCCCATAAGTTCTATGCTGATCCAAATTTCTCCTATATCTTGGACACAGGTTCATTCCTTCTGTGAATCACTGGGCTGCAGAATGCTCTACCGACAGGGCTATCACACTCATCATCCTCTTACTACTCCAAGGCACGGTATATTCTTTGTGGAGGGAGACAAATTTACGTCTGCACGAGAACCAGTCTCGTCCGGCAACGATTGTGGTGAAAGACATTCTTGTCTTAACCCGTAGGAGATTATCGAGCATCCGACACATATGGCGTGCTGTGAATGGTGCTGACTCCTTGCTAACGATCTTGTTGTGGTTCCCGGCCTTCGATCTCTCACCGATTCACTCCGATTTACCCTCGTTTGTGATGGGTCGCACGTGAACCTCGAGCACCGGTTCACAACCGGTCTCGGGTCTGGTCCGCGGGTTTACGCAGCGGAAATAGCGTTCAAAACATTTTTGAACACCCACGGACCAAGCCTTTCGATGAAGAGCTTTCTTGAGAGAAAAACTAACCTTTGATTCACAATCTGGACGAAGTTAGTTGATCACAGCCTAGGTGTTGAATGAGCCAACACCCTCTTGAGCAGTCCACACCTTGGAATGGATTCCAACACTTGGAATCAAGCTTGCTAGAGCTCAAGAGAACAATTCTCTTGTGTATGGAGTTCAAGAACACCTTCTTGATCTCTCTATCTCTTGGGAGAGTTTTTCTGTGTCTCTCTAACCTTCCCAAGGTCAGAGAAGTCGAGCCTAATCAGTCCCACGCGTTCCCCACCTGTTTCCACCAAGAAAAGGGCGAGAAAACGTGTTTTCGGACTTGTCAGTGTCTTGGTCCGGGGCTGACCAACTCTTGGTCAGCCGGACCAAGAACACGTGACAAAATCTTTGCCGACAGTCCGCGATCCGGCGGACCAGAATCTTGGTCCGCCGGACCAAACGAGCTCCGGACCGAAGGATTAAGTCCGCCTGACTTTCTGGTCCGCCGGACCAAGGTTTTGGTCCGCCGGACCAACCAAACTCCGAAAAAACGCGCGTCGCTCCATTTAACACAGTCTGGTCCGGCTGACCAGGGCTGGTCAGCTCCGGACCAGACAGTGTTTTTCGCCAACTCCGCCCGTTTCTCCCGTCCGTCTGGTCCGGCTGACCAACTCTTGGTCAGCTCCGGACCAGACCGCAAAAACCAAGAAAAATCCGATTTTTCTCGTCCGTTTGATCCCGTCCATACACGTCCATCCCATATGTGTGTGACCCTTTAGGCTCCTCCGAATACGGCAGTAAACACGAGATCCAATCTCGCTTTACAAATCATAAGCGGTCTCTAGCAAGACATTATGATTACCCGTATCGGAAAGAGTTAGATGTGATCTAACCGAAAAGCCAGAGATAGCTCCAACGATGATCCTCTTTGTCTCACGATATCATAACCGAACTCATAGTTCGAATGCTTTGTCGTACCCCGAGTAGACTGTAAGAGATAGATGACATTCATCTATGGTGCGGCCGCACATTTCTACAGTCCTACTCCTACGACGGGCCCAAGCGATATCTCTCTCTTTCGAGAGGGACAAAGTTCCATCTTGACTATCTACTATCCATTACATGATTCATAATGTACCCGAGCCCCGTCTTTATAGTC